TAGAACAAAATATGCTTCAGTTGTCAGTCTTAGTCCATCGGCTCTCTTTCTGGAGGTGGATAGCATTTTTCATCCTGAGCCCTTGGAATTGTGGTGAGTCATTGCAATGTCAGAGTTCCTGAGTCTTTCAAAGTTGACTCTCTTTACGATATTGCTGTTAGCATGTAAATGGTTCCCTGGTTCTGCTCAATTAATTCTGTATCAGTTCATAGAAGCCTCCCCAGGTTTTTCTGAAGCCATCTCCTTCATCATTTCTTACGGAAATGCCCGTCCTCCCTGCACATTCATCCAATGCATCTTCTGTGGAGTTCTGTGGAAGATGGATGAGGTCATGCAGACCTTCAATCACATTCATCTTCCTTCATGTGTTTGGCTGGTCCCCAATCGATGGGCATCCCCTCTGTTTCCAGTTCTTTGCCACCACAGAAAGAAAAAGCTCATAGTCTAATGTAGGAGATGGCGCCTAAGGAAGGTTTCAGCTGCAAATCAGACAGTCGTTAGGGTACAGCAGCAAAGCAGAGGGTAATGCCTCTTCTTTAGCCTCACTTATGTTGATAAAATCATACCATTTTTCTGATGTTGAGTCATTTGACAGGGCCGGGGACTTTGGGGCAAACACGTTCTTTCCTGGGTCTCGGGTAGCGTGGCTGTGGCCTGTGCAGGAGCAGCCCCCAGGTGGCATCTCCATAGGAGTTGCTTCCCAGGGTGGCAGCTGGGGGTCCTGGGCTGGAGGCATGGCTGTCCCCAAGGCTCTTGGGTTCAGGGACAGTCTCCATCAGGGCCCAAGAGGAGATGTTAGTCAAGATGCTGGTGGTAGTGTGACCTCTGTGGTCTGTGCTGCCTCTTGTGTGTCCCTCAGGTTGCCTTGCTGCTTCGTCCATGCTGGCTTGTCTGCCTTGTGGGTGGTAATTGGTTGGCAGTTGGTGGGGATGGCTGACCTCCTCTCTACTGGAGCTGCCTCCCTAAATGATGACTGAGGGCTGAGCTGAAAGCAGGACTGGTGGTCCATGGTGCGGAGGGCTGAGTAGGGGACTGCCCCTGCCAGGGCTCTCATGTCCAGCTGCCTGTTGGTGGAAGTTGGTCAGCAGGTTGCTAGTGATGAGGAAAGTGGGCTCTTTTCCCACAATTATTTCTCCATAATTGTTTTTTCTTTCAAAGATGCCTGGTGGGACTGGTATGAAACCCAAAAGAGGAGGGATTATCAAGGAGAGGAGGGTGATGGATGGTGTTAGAGGCTGCAGAGAAGTCAAGGATGAGAATTGAGAACAGGCCATTGGATTGGGCCATTACGAGGTCACTGGTGGCCTTGGGGAGAGGAGTTTGGGTGCTGTGATGAGGACTGAAGTCAGACAGCGAGGGTTTAGAAGAGGAGGCCCTGAGGATGGAGGGCTTTCTTGAGGCATGCTAAGAAGGGGAGGAGAGGGGACCTGGAGGACAGCCGATAGAGATGGCAGGGTCAAATGAGGGTTTTTGAAGAAGCGGAGACGCGATGTGTTTGTAGGTAGCAGGAAAGATAGGCCTGGAAAGAGTGAAGACAGTGAAGACTGGAAGGGGCAGTCTGCTGGAGAAGACAGGAGGGAATGGATCCCTTGGGCACATTGTAGAGGGGTCTGCCTTGGTAAGGAGATGGGTGCGAGGGCGGAGATAGGGCCAGGAGGCAGGTATGTGAGTGGAGAGGAAGCTCACAGCAAATGGCCTTATTTGTTTCAATGCAGTGGGAGGCAAGGCTCCCAGCTGAACCAGTGGGGGAAGAGTGTACCATGGAAGGCTTGAAGAGAGCTGGAAAAGTCCCTGGGGGAGTGGGAGGTAGAGAGGATTACCTTGTTGCTGGAAGGCCCAGTAGAGATTACATGGCCTGGATTTGTTCTGGATCCAGTCAGCATGATTTTGGGATTTTCCCAGCTTCATTTGGAAGCGTGTGAGTTAGGAGCCAAGGCAATAGATAGTGGGCGTCATCCAGGTTGGAGGCTTGGCCAGACATGATGGGCAATAGGACAAGGGAAGGCCTTGGCCTCTAGTAGGAAGGTCAGGGGTCCAGCTTTGATGGGGCTAGAAGCAAGTGAGGCCTCAGTGTTTCCATCTATAAAATGAGGTCAGATGAGCTGATCAGAGCCCTGCAAAGCCCCTGTGCACTCTCGGCTCCCCCAGGTACCACTGCCTCTCTGCAGATCTGCATCCGGGTGCTGCCCTGGTAGCTGGTGGGTGTGGCACCTGGGAGCTGAAGGCACTTCCTGCAGGCATTTGGAAGAGAGAGGCTGCAAAGGCTCAGCTCCTCAGCACTTAACTCCTCCTTGACTTTCTCTGGGTTGAACAAAGTACGTGGGGTTTGATCAGGATATTTAAGAGATCATGGTTTGAAATAACTTTATATGCAGCCTATTAAAATGAGCACAGAGATCCATGGATTCCTCCCAGATTCAGAACCTAATGTCACATTTGTTTAGCTGCCAGATAGCCATTTTAGAGCTGGAGACATACTGTTTTTGTGACTCGCACATAATTTGGAGTTAGTTGTCTTCTAAATGTGGTACGGTATCATTGTCAACCCAACCTAGGCTTTTAGAGAACATTTTAAGTAGCGATCCAGCAGGAAAGGAACATTCTACCCCAGCCAGATACTTTGTTTTCACATGACACAAATATCCCTTCATGACAGTTTTTAAAAAATGCTGGACTCAAAGGAACACAGCCCTGTACTTAAATCCGTATCTCAGGTATGGTGAATTGATCGAGTGCTGTGGTTTTCTACTTAGTGACCTGCAGCTAAAATTGTGTTCCATCAAGAGCTCCCTCCCCTTCCTTCCCTTCCAAAACAGGAGAGGCAGAGTAGAGTGGAACAAACCAGAATCTCAAAGTTCACAAAGTACGTTTTCCAGGCATCGAACCATAGGACCGGACTCTTGATCCCACTGGGGAAAGGAGAAAGGAGGAAGGAGGAAGGATTCTGTTGTTGGGCATCTCCAGTCTCAGGTGCCTCTTTCGGAGCTGGTGCAGACTCTGCCTCCTCATGCATAGACCTCCTTTGCTCTCCTCTTCCCCAGTCTTATGTGTTGAATGGCTTGGGTTTGTGGAGTAAGAGGGAACCATTCCAACTTCCAGATAAATGCCCCTGAATGTATGTATGTTTATTTGTGAATTCGCATAAACAAAATGTTTTTTCTTTATGTCCCAAACATCCTACACACAGTTCTGCCCATCAGAGGGACATAATGAATCTTTGGTGAGCTGAAGAAGAATGTTTTATTTATCTGGCCATGTCAAAAATAATATACAGTAAGAAATAAAAGAAGGGTATGTGTGTGTGTGTGTGTGTGTGTGTGTGTGTGTGTGTGTGTGTGTCTTGGACAAGACCAGGGCAGGAATATGTTTTACTTTCTAAATTAGAGAGAGGAAGATGGGAGAGAATGTGAACCTGAAATAAAATAGATGTGTGTGTGTATGTGTGTGTGTGTGTGTGTGTGTGTGTGTGTGTGTGTGTATTTCACTAATGAAATGCCCACATTTGGGGCATTTAGTTAGTGAGATTTATTTTTCAATTAGTGAATTGCCTAGGAAATACTTATTTTATATTGATTTACTCTATATAAATAAATGTCTGGAGTATGTAAGTAAATCTCTGGAGCCATGCCTTTGTTTCTTCCTATTTCATAGGTGTTTTTTTAAATCGTAAGTCACAGAATGGTTAAGATGGAAGAGAGCTTAAGAGGTTATCCAGTCCCATCCCCTGGTTTAGTGGATGAGGAGGTAGGGCCCCAGATAATGGCTGTGACTTGCCTCCCAGAGTGGGGTAGAAAGAGTCCTGGGCTGAAAGACCTCTGCTGCTGAGGGGTGGCTGTGCAGTGTGGGCAGGTAACTCAGCCTCTCTGAGCCTCCCTTCTCCCGTCTGGAAAAAGACCAGGCTGCCTGAGATGATCTCGGCTGCCAACTCTTGGCCCTTGTGTTCTAATAGAAACTCTAGGTCTAGAGATTTCTGGGAGACCAGATGTGATCAGAAAACAGAATAGTGACTTCTGGGGATAGAAAGAAAATTATGCCTGTGTAAGGGTTTGCCAGTAATTGAGAAGTGCTGGAGTCTGTATAGTATAGACCCTTTCCTCATACTATTAAAAGAGATGATGGTGAGCAGCGCTGACAGTCTGTAGACCATGGTGTTACATGGGACTGTAATCGACACCTTACTTGTCACATAGGTGGCACCATTTTTAATATGGACCAAGACCCAAACCAAGGTGCTGTGTGGAAAGAGCGCTGGTTCAGACTTAGACCCCACCTGTGATATGACCTGGACGGCCTCAGACAAGGCTCCCAACTTTCCTGAGCCTCAGTTTCCTCATCTGTAAAATGGGGACAATTGGACTAGATAATCTATAGGCTGCACCTTAGAAGGTCCCTTCCTGTCCAAAATCTGTAGTTCCATGATCCATTTAGTTCCTCATTTTTTGTTTGTTAAAATATCCCTTAGAGAAATAACTTGGATGTTCACATATGCTAGATGAGATTATGTTAACTTGAAAGAATTTTGTTAGTTCTAGGAATTCTTTCTTTTTCATTCTTCTTCAAAGAATTTAGAAGAGGATTTAGATTTTAGAAGGATAATTTTGCTGTGTCCATTTTAACCTATTAAGGCTTGAAAAAATTAGTTTAATTTGCCTGCTTCCCAAAAGGCTTTGAAGCTGCTCTGCCTAATTGTTGCAAGATGGCAAGATGTTGATTTTTTTTTAAAAATTATGATTACAATAGTTGAAAAAGACCTGAATTTAGAGTTTAGCTGTCTACTTAGCAGGAGAAATCCTTGACTGACTTGAAATTGGCCCAAACCAATTGAATTATTTATTATATGGAAGGAAATACATGGAATGACTCAAAGTGGTCCAACAGGGTTGCGTATTGCAGCCTGGTGAGAGTCAAAGTGAAAACAACAGGGTCGGTGTGGGCAGGGGCTGCCACACTGGTGGGCTCGGCCTAGGCCCTTCATCCTCCCTCTCCATTTCTTTTCATAGGGCCCTTGAGTTGGCTGTAAAGCACAAGACACACGTGGACACGGTTCTTGCATACCGGCAAAAGTTTTTGGAAACGTTTGGTAAACAGGAAACTAATAAGCGATATTTACAGTATGCAGAAGGGGTAAGTATTAGTAGAAGTTAAAATGCCGATAATAATATCTTATATGAATATAAGTAATAATTGGGTTAAAAAGAATTTTTCCAACCTTGCAGTAGTGATCTTTAAATTTAATTACAGCCTTTCCTTATGATGTCATGGCCCCAATTTGACTTGTTTCCCCTGATACTTCTGGAATCTCTGCTATACTGTGACTAACCTTTTTTTTTTTTAAATCACCCACATGCCACATCTAGACTTAATTTGTCATTAACTCATGCTCTTAGACCTTGATGCAGTTTCAGAGGTCTTTAAGATGATTCCCTGAGCACCTGATTCCAGAATGCCTGTAGGGAGTCAGTCTCTCCATGAGGAATGAAAGGAAGAAGTCACTACAATGCTGGGACCCAGCTGGGACCCAGTGGGACTGTTAGATTGGGAGCCGCTTGGGGCAGAATCTGCCTTTTGCCTTTCTTTGTGTCCTCAGCACTTAGGACAGTGCCTGGCACTTCATATTGGTTGGCTGACCATCAGAGTGTATGGACAGACCTGAAACAGATCTCTTTAGGAAAGAAGACCTTCCCTAGCCCTAGGCTCAGGAACTCCAGCCCCTTCCTAAGCCAGCAGGTAGAACAAAGTTCCTCATCACATTACAATGCCAAGCAGTCTAGAAAATTCTCAGATCCACAGGCTTGAAGGAGTGGGAGGCTGGGAGGGCATGTCTGCAGTCAAGCCCCTGTATGCAGCACCATTCTGCTTTTTCTTTATTGTCAACATTCATTACCGTATTGGGCTGAATGTAGAGTACACTCCCTACGCCCAAAGCTGGCTTGTACAAAACCTGAACACTGCCCATAATTTGTTATTTTTTTCCCTTTCAAAGAGGTTCCATTTTAGTGCATGTAGCCTACATTCCTACAAGTATGATGAATGTTATGTTATGCCCTGTAAAGAAGAGTCTCTACCTTCCAGGAAATTGTATTCTATCCAGCAGAAGCATACATTCTTACTTGGTTTTCTGATTCATAGCACTATAAATCCTTTTGAAATATAGAGCTTCTTAGTATCACAGATTTTATTGATTTATTATTTATCATTAGTAAGTCAAATGAGAAGTTAGGAAGGAACTTTTTAACACGAGGAGTATCTTTAAGTGTTTTCTGTCTCTATATCTTATAAGTGTAGGTGTTACTTTCATTCTTTCCACCATTATGTTTTTACTTCCTATGTTTTCACAAAAATTTCAGAACCAGAAGATGTCTCAGGCTTCCTGTCTTTCCCATTTCCTCATTTCCCGTTGGGGAAAACTGAGACCCAGAGACAGGGAATGAGATTTGCTCAAGATCACAAGTGGCAGCCTCGAACTCAGGGCTTATGATCCCTAAGTCAGTTTTCTTTCCATGTTACTGTACTGTCTCTAGCACTTCTTTTAAGGTTACAGTAATTGAAGACTTAGCTAATTAATGGCCAAGGGCCTTTCCCTCTCCTGTGAGGGAACACCTAATATCAGTGTCAGCTGAGGAAAGACTTATTATTTAAGGTAACTGCTTTCCATCAAGAAATCTTAAGAGGTCACATGTCATATGAGTCTAATCTTAGGAGGGTACCTTGTCTTCCTCTTTACCTTTACTAGGTTTTTCTTGTCTAGTTCTGTATTGCCTGGTTCTGGGGAAGCCACATATCTTGCTAGAATACCAGATTTTTCCTGTTCTGCATCAGAAAAACCTAGAAAGCAGCTCATAGATTGCAAGATCTAGCAAACAGCCCCATCCCTCTTACCATCAGTTGGTTTTCTGTCCTTGCACTTGTTGGAATCTTTCAGAGGCTATGGTGTTGAAACCTTTTGGGTTTTTCAGGATTATCCTTTAAATGATCATCTTTGTTGTGTGTAAACTATTCTAAAACATAGAGTTTGCAGGAATATAACTTTGGTGTTGATGGAAGAGTCTCAGTGATGGATTATGAGAGAATTGTGGACCTGAGAAGAGAGAACACAGAGCACTCGGGGAGGAGCAGGTTTTAAGGAGCCCTCCAGTGCTCGATTCCCACGAATACTGGAGATCGCACTAGAGAAAACAGCTTGCAGGCCAAAAACACCTGTGCAAGTATCTCTGAAGTAAATCTCTGTGGTCCTCAAACCCAACTTAACTTTTGATCATCCATGGTAAGGGAAGAGGCCTCAGGATGAATGAATGAATGAATGAGCACTTAGTGTGTGCCAGGCGCTGGCCTAGGTGCTGAGGAGAGAGATAAAATGAGGCAGGCCTGGCCTCGAGAAGCTTTTGTTCTAATAGGGGGACTCAGCACATATACTGCGAGTGAGGACCAGGGAAGAGAGACCTAGGGAATCGCCGGGGTGGTGAAAATTGATCCCCCAGGACAGCCGTCTGCCGTGTCCTTCCTGGAAGCAATAGCATGGATTTGACTGCTCTTTCCAGAGCAAGAGGTGGCTCTTATGAGAATGGACAGCTGGATGGGCTGTAAAACAGCGTGGTGTAGTTTGGGGCTTAGGGCCGGCTACAGCTAGTGACGTAATTGAACCTGGGCTTCACTGAACATGTGAGGGTTCTAAACCTCCTATTATCCAGAACCAAAGAGATATTGCAAAAATATTCTATGTTTAATTTTGGAGTATCACCTGAAGTTGATAACTATGTCATCATCATCATCATCATCATCATCATCATGGAATATTTATTAAATTTCTTCAGCATAGGACAATGGATACTTCACAGACCACACAGAAGAAGTGAGTCTTGCTCCAGTGAGCACAGCCGAGGTGGAAGAATGAGCACACCTTTCTGATCGACTCAGTTTTGAAGACACGGGGTTTTCTTCCATATCAGAAGCCAAACTGAATCACAAATACTTCGGAAATTAACTTTTAAACTGTAGTCTGTTTCAAAGACCCTCTTTCTCAGAAGCAGTCTGGAGTCAGTTGTTTGAAGATGATGATGACCTTGCTTGTAAGGTTGGCATGGGTAGATGATCTCATCGGACCTGCACACAAGGAATTATGGGAGTGTGTGGAGGAGAGGACTAATCTCTCTACCACATGGGCTTGAAATTGAACAGTATAAAAATGGAGAGTTTTGGTTTCCTCTCTGAAGAGCTCCCAACATTATTTTCTAAAAGTTCAGGTAGATGATTCTTCTAAGAAACTCCCTGCACTTCTCTGAGTCTGTGATGCCCGGACAGCAGAGTCTGAGTTTGCACAGACCAGTCCCATTGTTGGTCTTGCGAAAGATCGTTATGTGACGTGGTAGAGAAGGGGTGGGCCTTAGATTCAGAAGGCCCTCTGGGGGTCCTGGCCTGGTGCTTCTGCCACCTTGGCTCTGGACACATCATCTCTCCTTTCTCAGCTTTTCTTTCCTTATCAACTTTTCTTATCTGCATAATAGATATGACAATAGTCACACTGTCTGTTTCAGAGTTGTGAGAATCTTTATGAAACTTGAAATCCTGTAGAAAGGTATGCTGCTCTAGTTGTTGCTTCTCCAAAATTCACCTTTAACGTTCCCTCCTGGGAGGGTCATGGCCTGATCCCAAGAGGGGACCGGCTAATCAGAGGCTGAGACCCCTGTGTCCCCCAAGCACCCCTCCCTTCTGCTCCCTCTGCCCCATTTCTGATCAGCTGTGGGCCCTTAAACTAGTCGCTCCTCACAGACAGCAGCTGCTCAGGGGCCCTTGGGAGCATTCTGCCCCCAGCTCACTTCGTGACTGAAGCTGGCATGGCGGCAGTGATCAGTATGAACCGTACTCCTTTTTGTTTTGCATAGGATGGCGTAAGCCACACAGGATGAACAGGCTTGAATGGATTGTGAAGTGGACCCCAGATATCACTATGTTAACCTTTTCTCCCAAAGCCTGCCCCTCTTCCAGGCCCCCCTATGAACGTTAAGGGCACCACCGTCCTCCTGGATGCCCAGGTTTTTACTGCTCCTGCATCATATCCAACCATGTATCCATCGTTTGCAAATCTACTATCTGTGCCCCATCTCTCTCATACACCCTCTTCTCCAACACTGCCACCCCCTGGCACATGCCCTCATCACCTCACACCTGGACGATTGTAGTAGCCTCACAAGTTGGTCTTCCTGCCGCAGTATTTGCTCACCCCAATCCATCCTCCCCTCAGCTGCCAAATTGATTTTTCTAAAGTGGAGGTCTGACCACATCATTCCTGTACTCAGTGAACTCCAGCTTTATCCATCATACTCCCAATGGGGAGTCCACACTCCCTGTTGACTATAGGATCGAATATGATTTCATCTTTATGTCATCCTTTTAACTCCCTATTTTGTGTAAGTTTTATAATGTACATAATTATTAGCACAGTAGGACATGTATATAATTTGTGTAAGCATAAGTAATATACAGATTGGAGGTGTGTGCTCAAAAATGTTCAATGATAAGGGTTGTGATCAAAAACATTTGGAAACTGCTGGTCTTCAGTGTCAATAAAAATAGTTTTCACAAACTGGATAGCTGCCAAAGGAAAACATTTATTCTCAATAATATGATAGCTTTCAACCGGCAGTCTGATTTGTAGAATATGAAATGCTTCATGTGGATGTTGGCAATTTACTTGATGACTTCTGGTGAGTGACAGGTGTCTAGTGGGCCATCAATAAATGGTTTTATTGTGATTGATTTCAGAAACATTTGTGAGCAAATTTAGTTCTGGAGGACGACCGAAAGGTTCATCAAACTTTGTCTCCCTCTCACAAATATGTTTGTTCAATGTAAACAAAAATCATTTTGCTAATTTTGCTATGATCTCAGTGAAAGATGAACCCTTCAAGTACTTTTAATGTTTGTTGCACCTTTCCATGAGTTGGTCCTTATGTCTTGGCACAGACCTACACTGAGTACTAACAGTAATGGAACCCTTCTAATTTCATTCATTGCATATAATATGCATAAGGTATATGAAGAATATTTTTGTCTCATAAAAGATAAAACTGTTAACTTTTGATTAATAACTTGGTTCCGTCAACATGTAATATATATTTATATGTGTGTATATGTATATATGCATATACATATACACATACTTATGTGTATATATACATATATATATGAGTGATTTATAAGAATCTCCTGAGCACCTAGTTACTCTAGATTTTTACATTTTGAGCCAGATGTAGGAGAGCAAGTAGTACCTCCTTTCATGTTACCACCCTTCCCCCATACTATCTCTCCATACCCCTTAGAAGTCTGGTTCACTTTTTTTTTTTTCTTTTCTTTCTTTTCTTTTTTTTCTTTTCGGTGAGGTAATAGGGGTTAAGCAACTTTCCCAGGGTTACACAGTTAGTAAGTCTGGTTCACTTTTGACCTGGGTCCAGGAGTTTAGCCTTGTTCCATCAAAGATAACTCCCAGTTCATTTTAGGATCTGAGCTCTTATTTTTTCTTGCTTTGGACAGGACACAGACTGCCAGGTTGACCCTAGAATTGACTCAGCCCTGTATGTACCCCCTATGCTGGAATCACTTTAAGGATGGGCCATGTCTCATTCTAGTTACCTCCCAACAGAGTGGATTCCTGGGCCTCTCTTAGATCCTTAAGCTTGGAGATGATAAAATAAGGTGATATCAAAGGTGGGAAAAGTTTGCACAGCAGCCTATCCCGCAAGACCATTTGGCTAATAATATTTGGTATCTCATTAGAGCCTTGCATAATAAATAGACTTCAGGAAAAACTCAATCTAGAACAGGATTTTTAAAGTCCTTCGTAGCAGGTCTGACAGAAGGAAGTCATCACAATCTCAATGATTACAAAAGCAAAGAAAAAAAGTCTGCAGTGGAGTGAAGGTACCAGATCATCTTGGTTTCCTAGACATCATGTAAAAGCCTCAGTCATATCATGGTCAATCCAGTGTATGACAGCCTTCTCAAAGTAAGAGAATTTTTACATGTTCCTAATTAAGAGAGAACTCTCCAGTCAGAAGTGGAAAATATGAGTAGTAACCAAGCAAAACTATCTGTTTATTGGTACTTCTATACATATATGCACATACATATACATACACACACACACACATAAATAAAACACTATCAAACTTGTAAACTAGAGCCATCATAGACATAGCATCATGACTCTCCTGAAATTGTGATGTTAAATTTAATCTTCATAAATAGGAAAAGGGCAGGATTTGGAAGGCGATTACCAATAGAATGCAGTCTTATTATGAACAGCGAGCACATCAGTTCAGCTTATTGGCTGAGGAATGATGAATTTGTAATAACAGCTTGCATTTCTGTGGCACTTCCCAGTTTGTAAAGTGCTTTCCTCCAAACAGCACAGGGTGGGAAGTCATGCAGCTGTCGTCATCTCCATTTTATTGATCAGGAAGCTGAGGCTCAGAGAGGTGATGGGGTCTCCCTGCACTCGTAAAGCTCTTGCATCCGACCAAGGAGGGATGGAAACTCACCAAGTCTCTTTCTACTGGAGAACCCTGCTTTGGTGTCCTCTGACTAGAATGAGCCAGTCCATAGAAGCTACCTATAGTGCTGAGTGGGTACCCGCCCAGTTGTCAGAGAATCGAGCAGTGGCCACACCGGCCTTGACCATGCCTTCTGCCACAATCTGCAGTGGATGTCCTGTTTGGTGACAGGGTGGAGGATATTGAAAAAGCAGTGAAGGAACGGGAAAGCTAATTCTGATGTTCTCCTGGAATCAGTGTCCACAACGCAGTTGTTCTTAGCAGGGCACTCATGGGTCAGAAGATCAAGCACAAGAAACCTGGTCAGCGTGCTCACCTAAGCAGATGTCTTCCTTCAGTGCCTTCATATTAATTGGATACTTTGAGTTAGTGGTGCTTCCAGCAGGAAGACAAGCTTGGCAGGTCACTGAGCCTCTTGGTGTAGGGAGAGGGGGGCTCTTGAGTGGACCCCCCATTCTTTGTGGCCCCCTCTGAATGCTCCCACTGCTAATGTTGGCTGCTCTTCCACCAAGCTGCTGCTGAGATTGGGGCACCAGGGCCGAGGTGTCACACAAAGAGAAATGATCCCTGAAGCCGCATATTAACTTACTCTTTGAATGCCCTCGTTGTAGCTCTCATTTGTTTTGTTAATGACTTGCCAGTCACATTTCCATTTGGTGCCTGTGAGTGTAGGCCACATGTTTGACTCCTCTGTTCTAGAGAAAGTGTTGGGCTTGGAGTCAGCAGACCAGGTTTGAATCTTCTCTGCTCCATGACTCCTGGGTGATTGCTTCTCCTTGTCTAAGCCTAAACTTCCTCAGCTGTGAAATGAATGAGCTGGACCAAATGCTCCTAAGGTCTCTTCCCGGATTAAATCTAGGGTCCTATTCAAGTGAGATTTTAGAACGTAATTCTGAAAAAGCCACCCTGACCCTTCCCTTTTCCCACTACCTGGAGCCATGTGCCATAGCATTCCCAGTTTGTTCAGCGATAAGCGATTAGTAATTAGAGCCAGGGAACACCTGCCTAGGTATCATAAGTACGTCTCATGCTCATTATTAAAATTCAATTAAGCAAACATTTATTAAGCCTCTGCTCTACATAGGGCATGCTAGACACTAGGGGTGCAGAATCAAACATCAAACGCTCCTTCCCCTCAGAAAGCTCCCGTTCTGCTAGGCTTGCGTGAGTACGAGGTGATTTAGGCGTGTCACTAACAACTGGGGGAATCAGAGAAAACTTTACCAGAGGAGATGGCAGCTGAGCCGAACCTTGAGGGCTCTGGAGAGATGGGATTGAGAAGGGAATGCGTTCTAGGCAGAGACTGCACACAAGGAACAACTCTAACCTGGATGCATGTGAAGTCAGGCTGAAGGGGGGGTTCAAAGCCAGGCTGAGCAGTTTGTTTTTCTAGCAACTACAGGAAAGCCCTGAAGGCCCTTGAGACCAGGTCTAAGTCAGACGAGCTCTTGAAAGATTGCCCTGGCCAAATAGCACCAGACAGTAGAAATGCAACAGCCTTTGGTCTGTCCCCCCATTTGCAGGAGGGGTTCCTCAGAAGATAGCTGTTCTGGGTTCAAGTGATGTACTCTGTGTATTTATACACCTAAAAGTCAAGTATGTGATCCCCTTCCTATATGACAGCTAACAGGTGGCTTTTGTGTAGTGCTTCAGAGTTTGCAAAGTACTGACATTTGTCATTTCATCTGACCGACAAAGGTTAAATGGCTTGCCGAGGGTCACCGCAGCCCAGCTCCTAAGTGCGAGGTGGGATTGGAACTCAAGCTCCTGACTCCACCTTTCACTCGTCAGCCAGAGTCTACAATTAGCTCAAAGCAAAGGCATCTCCTGGAATAGCATAATAAGATTTACAAAAGAATGTTTCTCACCACAAAGGAAGGATGGCACGTATTGAGTAACTGCTGTGTGCCACGCACTGTGCTAAGAGCTTTACAATTATTATCTCCTTTGATCCTCACAGCAACCCTGGGAGATAGGTGCTATTATTATCCCCATTTTATAGATGAGGAAACTGAGGCAGACAGGTCACATGACTTGTACACTTTCCCACACATCTGAATGAGCCAGGACAGAGGTTGCTTCTAAAGGGCCCATGAAGGAACATGAGGTTTTGATAGGCTCATTTACACCGAGGTGAAGTTAAGTCTGCTACAGGTTTAGGTTACACAACCTCAGCTGGGCAATCCTACAAACGCTCCTTCCCCACTCCCTCTCTCAGTCACTGCAGAGGCGCCTCCAAACTTCCTTCCTCCTCCTGCTCCACTCCTCATCTCGCCAAGAGCACTTTCAGCCTGCTCCATCTCACTGTAGTACACCTTCCTCCCTAAGTATGACTTTCTAGTCTCATTGGCTTGTCCCGTGGCATGAGGTCATCGAAACCTCTGCCCTTCAGCCCTGAGTGATGGTGTCCTGTGATGCCATTGAGACCGACAAGCTTCAGTAATGGACAAAGAAATCTGGAAAGACTTATGAAATAATGAAAAGTAAAAACCAGGCAGGACAAAGGAAGGAGACTCTTGAGTGTGGGCTGCTCAACCAGAGAGGAAAAGCAATGAAAACACACCTCAAACCATTCATCAGATAGAAACCTGGGAGGGAGGAAGCTGCTGGAAAGTTGTGGTGCTTTGTGCATTGAAGTTAAGTGTAAATGGTTCCTAAGTGAGATTAGTGGGTCGGACTGATGTTCAGTATCACGCCTTCAAGAAAACGATTTATTTTTTAAAAGCTCTCTCCCCATGACGAGGTGGGGCGTGTTTCTGGGGGGTGGTCTTTCCCATGTAGAGCCTGGTGTCTGGTCCAGCCTTGAGAGGGTCACCATTGCCTCTGTCTCCCTGGCCACTACCAGCCCAGGCCAAGTTGGTGCAAATGACTCTTATGTTTAAGAGATTTGTTATTTTGAAGTTAAATTACTGCTCGCTATGCAACGGCGCCACAAAAGCAGCCTCTCGATTTGGGCTGAGTCTCTGTCGTCCCCTGGGTATAGCCTCAAAGGTGCTGCTTTCTGGAATCTTGTCCTTTCAAAGACACAGCCCTCCCATGGTCAGCTAGGAAAAGTGTAATCAAAGGTAAAATTAACATTCTCCTTTTCGTTTCTGTAGCTCCAGGTAGACTGGGACAAAATCAAAGCCAAGATCGAGATGGAGATCACTAAAGAACGGGAACGGTCCTCCAGCATCACTGGCAAAAACCTGATGGGTAGGCACTGAGTGGGGTGGGGGGGGGCGGAGCCCTGCCAGAGGGAGGCTGCCTCTTTCCTGTGAGCCGGCCAGCTTTGCGTCCCCCAGGCCAGCCTTTGGCAGAGGGTTTTCTCCTCTCATGGTTCCTCTGTACCTACCTGGCCATCCCTGTCACAAGAGTGGTTGTATTCCCTATACTGGCATTCCTGACTGAGTCTGTGGCATAGAAAGCATTGATGCTCTTCTCCAGGGTCTGAATTCTTTGGACAGAACTATCATAAGCCTGTTCATTCAACTTTCCAAAATTGTACAATGCTCCAAATTGTTGTTAGAGTAAAAATAAAAGAAGATGGATTTGTGAAAACACCAGGTAGATCATTAGCATTTGTGCTTAGGGTTTTCCTCCAAAGTAAAGAGAATGCCATATAACTTTTCTTACACACACAAAGTTCTTATTGAAATCACCAAGAAGGGATATGACAAAGCTCCAAAGCTATGTCTTGACCAAGTGTATGTGTTTCAGGATTCTCAAATCTGGGACTTTTGGAAGTGGCCTACACAATGGTTGCCTAAGATTTGGGATTCAATGTAACTTTCACCATTGTTTCTTTCGAGATGTTAAATGCTTTGGAAAGTGTTGTGAACAGCAGTAGGCGTGATTTGCTGCCATGCCTGGCCCCTAGGATTCTGTGCCTCCCTTAAGTGAAATTTTACAGTGAACTCTTTTTATTAATCTATCACAGTAACTTTTCTCTGGTTATTATGGTCTATCAGTTGTTAAAATTTATATAAACAAGTCTTTATGTACTTATTTCCTATGTTAACACTAAATAGTTTTATACTTTTTATGAATTTAAATGTGATGTAATGATTGCAAATATTGTTAAACACAAATATTTCTTCACCTTTCATAACCTTATTAAATAAAAGATAAGTTTATCCAATAAAGTGCATTTATACTTATCACTTGATGCTTTCATCAGAGGCCTTAACTATTTTAGCTAAGTATCTATAGGGTTCTTTTTCTGAAAACTTGTTAATGAATGGTGTTAAAATACTGAATGTAATATCACAGAGGGCTGGGTGGCTCGTGCAGCTGGCATATTTAATCAGTGACAGCTAAGTTTCTGTAATAAAAGAAATCTAAGACACTGTAATATGGCACCAGCATCCCTCCCTCCCCAAACCCCCCCCCCCAGCCAAAAAGTGAGCTCCTTAAATGTCAGGGATCAAATCCTTGCGTTTGGATGTGATGTGGATTGGGCTTCGTTGCCTCTTGAGTCACTCCTCAGCCATCTTTGAGTTCTGATTTCCCTGCTGGCCCTGTTCCTGACTCTGCAGACTTCAGTCTGACTCTACAGCTGTCTCATCCTCACTTTGGACCTCACTGAACCCACCTTATGAGCCTTTCTCACTCTGTGCTAGCCCTTTGCAAACCATCGTGCCCTTCTCCCCTGGGGGGAGCCCAGGCCAGCCGGTCAGCCTTTCTTCCTTTCCCTTCCAGCTCTGTACCTGATTTTTCCAGCTTCGAAAGCATGCCTCCGCTGTGGGAGCCTCCATTTCTATGTCTCTCTCTCTCCCACCCCGTTTTAACTCCTTTTTGTGTGTTATCTTCCCCTGTGAGAAGGTAAACTCCTTGAAGGCAGGGAACTGTCTTTTTTATTCTATTTGCATCTCGGGGATTAGCATAGTCCCTGGCACACAGTGAATACTAATAAAGGTAACCAGGGGGTGCCACCCTGCACAGAGCTTGGGGCCTGGAATCAGGAAGGCCGAAGTTCAAATGTGGTTCCAGGCACACTGGCTGTGACTCTCAGCAAGTCACTAACGTTTTGTCTTTCTCAGTTTCCTCAACTTTAAAATGGGGATAATAATAGCACCTACCTCCTGGGGTGGTTGTGAGGATTAACTGGGACTATATTAAAGTGCTGAGCACGTAACAGGTGCTTAATAAATGCTTGTTCCCTTCTCCCTCCCTCCCACTCTCCCTCCATTCCTTCCTCCCTCCCTTCCTCCCTTTTTTCCTTCATTTCTTCCCTCCCTCCTTCCTTCCCTCCCTTCCTTCTTTTGTTCCTCCCTCTCTCCCTCCCTTTCTTCTCCCTCCCTCCCTCCCTTCCTTCCTTCCTCCCTCCCTCCCTCCCTTCCTTCCTTCCTTCCTTCCTTCCTTCCTTCCTTCCTTCCTTCCTTCCTTCCTTCCTTCCTTCCTTTCTTTATTTCTTCCCTCCCTCCTTCCTTTCTTCCTACCTTCTGTGATGACATTCTAATGCTCAAAGCAATATCTGCTGTTGATACTACATGGAAACCTGGTAATTTTCCATGTTCTGGAAATTACGAAGAACTGTGCACTGGAAAATTCACCAAATATATATTTTTTTAGAATAGACTTAAATTCAGTCTAATCAGGTTATATGGGCAGAGCCTTTTTTTTTTTTGCCAGAGTATAAGAGAAAAAGGTTGAAAGCAACTGCAATGCAATCCAAAAATATAATTTCTCCCAAGGAGACATCTTTTAAAAATGTTTTGGGTAATTTTTATTGACATCATCTGTTTTAGCAGCACATTCCTTTCCACATTTCTCTGTCTTCTACCAACGAAACATGCCCTGTAACGATTTAAAGAGAGAAAAAGCGGTTAGGCATACTTACCCATGCACTGACCATGTTTTCCAGCATTCACCTCTTCAATTAAGGGAACAAGGTACATCCTCTCCTCGCTTCTCCAGGGCTGAGTTTGATTGTTACAATTACACAGCATTTAATTTTGTTTTTATTCATTTCCTCCATTCAGCATCCCTTCAAAGAAGGGAAGAAGCAAAGGGCCCCAGGCTTCTCCACATCTTTGCCTCCATCATTTCTTAGGGCACAGAAATATTCCATTGCATTTATGTGCCATAACGTGTTCAGCCAACCCCCAACCAAGGAACATTTACTTTGTTTTCAGCTGTTTGCTACCACAAAAAGTACTGCCATAAATATTTTGTTGTATATGGAGACTTTCAGTCTTTGAGCTCTTTGGTCAATCAGTCATTTAACAAGTGTTTATTGTACCAAAGCATTGTGGGTAAGTGCTAGGGATACTAAGAAAGGAAAAAATAAGAGGCAAAAATAGTCCTTTTCATGAAGTGTACATTTTATTTAATAGGGGATGCAACATGTAAATGATTGGATATATGTGGCATATATCCAGAAGGGATGGCAGACAATCTGAGAGGGGAAGGGACTTGCAGCTGGGGGTTGGGGAGGCGGGCAGATGGCCAATGACTTCCTGCAAAAAATGAGACTTGAGCTGAGTTCAAATTTTCACCTAGCAGTAGGATCTCTGGGATATGAACATTTTATCCACTTTGGAGTGGGGATACAGTTGGAAATTGCTATCCAGAATGGTTATTCTAATTCACATCACCAACAATGTATTAGTGTGCCTTCTTTCCTCAGTCCTTCCAATGTTGACCACTTCTCTCTTTTCTCATCTCTGCAGATTTGCCAGGTGTGAGGTAAAATTTGATTTGCATTCCTTTTATTCATGATATAGAAGGGTCTTTCATATGGTGGTTCATAGATTACAATTCTTCAGCTACAACAGATGAGAAAACTAAGGATGAATTACAGCTAGCAAGTAGCAGAGCAGGACTCACAACCACATCATCTGACTTCAGAACTAGAACTCGCGACTCAATGGTTTAGAATTCCTGCTTTCACTCGCTGAAGTCCAGTATGCCAGGTGACAGTGTCTGCCATGATTTCCCATTTGTAAGATCAGAATAGGGTGGTACTCTAAGGCTTATTTAGGCTGCCCAGGAGGCAGTGGGTTCCCCTCACTGCAGGTCCAGCAAAACAGAGTGATCACTTGTTGAGTTTTGGTACTAAGGATTTAGCAGGCATGGCGTGGACTGGATGGCTCCTGAATTGTTTCCCAACTCTGAGATTATTTAGAACTGGATGGGCCCTTAGAGGTGATCTAGTCCAACCCAGGATTTAACCTCGTTCCTCTGACTCCAAATCCAGTCTTCTTTCCACTGGACCATGTTACCTTCTATTCTTTAGCTCTGTGGAGTGGAAATTGAGAGTTCTCCTATTTTCTTTTGCCAATAATAATACCTTAGCTACTTTTGCTGTCTCAAATTGTGCCAAGGAAATATATCCAGCATTTTCAAATATTTTGATTCATAACAGATCATGGCTGAACTAAATTAGCCCATGAGCAGTCCCAGCAAGGAGCTAATAGTGACAGTTGGAAGCCATGTGAGGCCATATTTTTATACCTTTTTCCTGGTAAGAAAGGGACTCCAAATGTTGATCACCAAGCAATCTGCTATTTGTCTCTCCAGTATCAGTGCATGTTGGAGAAAAGAAATACATGAGGGTCCCGAGCCTCACTTTGACCAGGAATCCTAAAGCCAAGCCTTCTAATTTTAATTGAGTTATACACACACACACACACACACACACACACACACACACACACACACTCACACACATATACACATATACATATTTACACATATACAAACACATATACACATATGTAATATACATACATGTACATGTATGTATATGTATATATATATATATATATATATATATATACACATATATGTATATCCCCCATTACACTCGACTCTGGAATTGCACTAAGTGCTGAGTTCATTTGGGGAGGTCTCTTTGGAAATATGTATAACCCAGTTGGGTGAAGGCCCTATTGAACTGAGCTGAGAGCCTATAAAATCACCCGAACGCAGTATCGACCTCCCTCTCCGCTCAGAAAATGAAAATGCATTTTAAAAGGAAAGTCTTTCATCAGGAGTAGGATAATTAGTAAAGAAATTGGAAAAGACCCTTAGAACACAAGCTAGGGCTGAAAATCTCATTCCCAAGGAACTGATGTAGAAAACTCTCTCCTCCAATATTATTGTTCTCTAGGGTAGGGAGGGCATGACAGATGTCTTTGATACAGGTGGAGTGAGGCTCCCCAGCTTCACTCCCACAGCATCCAGATGCCCACTTGGATTGTCCTCCAGCCTTGCCACCTTTCCACAGTTTGAATGTTTCCTTTCTTTGCAGTGGAGTGATGGCAAGACAGATTGAATATGGAAGACAAGAGAGTGGGACAGTAAAAAAACTAACAAATATTCATTAAGTGCCTACTATGTGCAAGGCAGCAGTATAACATACTAGTAATAGCTAGCATTTATATAGTTCTTGAAAATGTGCAAAGAGTTTTACATATATTTCATTTGATCCTCACAACAGCCCATAAACCCCCCATTTTACAAATGAGGAAACTGAGAAATAGAGTAATTTGCTTAAGGTCACACAGCTGATAAGTGCCTGAGGCAGGATTTGAACTCAGATCTTCCTGACTCTAAGGTCATCGCTGTGTCAAATTCAGCAGCTTGCATCACATGTTAAACTTAGAGGCCTGAATTACTCTCCCATACTGCCTGAGCTAAATTAAAATATTTATCAGGATAAATAAAAATATAAAAGAACATAGATAGTTAATATGTGGTTTTCTAAATCAAGATGCAGCCTGCAGGGATCTTTATGTATGGTTTAGTAGCTCCCATTTCTATTTGTTTGACACCACTGTTCTACATTCTTAGTTATCTCCATCTCCATTTCAAAGGGAGATGTCCCAAAAATCTAGAAAGAAGAGCATCAAAGAAGGAAGATCAATAGTGTCAACGACTGTGGAGAGGTCAAAGAGAATGATTGAGAAAAGTTCATTGGATCTGGCAACTGAGAGATCATTAGGATCATTAGTGACTTTGGACTTGGTGGATTGATAAAAATCAGAAGACAGATTATAACGGGCTAAGAAGAGAGGAAGAAGAAAGAAAGTAGAGGCACCTTTTCAAGAAGTTTCATTGCAATGGACTGAAGAGATGTGCTGGTGGTGGAGATGGAAGGATCAAGTGAGGGTTTTTTCCAGATGGGAGAGATGTAGGCATGCTTATTGTTGTTGTTCGTCCTTTGTTCTGGAAGAGGGACAATGGCACCAGGACGGTGATGTCTTGACTTGCAAGTGAATCAGATTTCAGTGAGGCAGAGGCATGTATATAGGCAGCAGGGAATGAGCCAGTAGACAGGGGGAATGTTGAAAATAAGTAGAAGAGTGGGGATGATAGAGGGGACTGTCTGTTGGAGGAATGAGGACAGAACAGGATCACTTATGCAGGTAAAGGGTTAGCCCTGGTAAGGAGGAAGGCCACCTCATTATGTGAGACAGGGGTGAAGGAGAGAGTGATAGAAAGCATCTGAATGATAGGAGATGAGGAAGAGGGGAGAAGGGGGAACTCATGGTAAATGGCCGCAATTTTTTTTCTGTAGAATATGAAGGAAAGTTCTCAGTTGAGAGACTGGGGAGATGGGAAGCCATGGGAAGATTGAGGAGGGATATAAAGGTTTGGAGGAATTGCTGTAGAAAGAAGGATTAGTGAGTTGAGAAGGGAGGTATAGTTGGATTGCCTAACAGCAGTGCCAGCGACCAGTTGAAGCTGTGTAACATAAATTCATAGTGGACTCAGAACGGTTGCCTGATTTTCTCCGTTTTCATTCAGCAGCATGTGTTTAGGCATGAAGGTGATGAATGTCAGGAATGGTCCAAGGAGTTGTCAGTGATATGTTAAAGGGGCTAGGGATTCAAGAGAGGAAGATAGTATAGAGTTGAATTGGTTCACAAAGGAGTCAAGATGGGGAAAAGAGGAGAGAGAGTTTAGTGCAGGAGAGTTGGCCTGAGAGTGGACTGAGGGCTCAAGGGATTGGAGGTCATGAAGAGTAGGGTCATGAAAAGGAAGGCAGAGGGAGAGGTGAAAAGCCAACAGATCATGGGCAGATGAGCATATTTCTTATAGCACAGTATATTCATGCACCATCAATCATTTATCTGTTCTCCAACTGATTAAAAACACATCTTTCGAATACTGACATATTCTATGGCTGTGACTTATGGAACACTATCATCTTGGGGAAAATAAAATTGAAGATAAGCCAGGAAGCAGCGGGAAAATACATGGCAGGTGCAAGCAAGTAGCAAAAGATCCCAGAGGCGACTTGTGAGGACAGGAAAGACTGGAAAAGAAAAAGGGCCAATCATACAACAGATAGACAACCTGAGTGGCGTATCGGTACCTTCAGGATACTAAAAAAGCAAGGCCTTCATTACCTTGGGAAGATCTTCTGTTAGGATTTATGGAAAAGCATAGACAAGAATCACATATGGAACTGATCCAACCATTGTGGAGAGCAATTTGGAACTATGCCCAAAGTGCTATAATCCAGCAATACCACTATGAGGTCTGTATCCCAAAGAGATAAAAGAAAAAGGAAAAAGGATGTACAAACATATTTATAGCAGCTCTTTTTCTGGTGGCAAAGTATTGGAAACTGAGGGGATGCCCGTCAATTGAAGAATGACTGAACAAATTGTGGTATATGATTGTGATGGAATACTTTATCCTATAAGAAATGATGAGCGGGGGTGGGAGGCAGCTAGGGGGTGCAGTGGATAGAGCACTGGCCCTGGAGTCAGGAGGACCTAAGTTCAAATCCAGCCTCAGACACTTGACACTTACTAGGTGTGTGACCCTGGGCAAGTCACTTAACCCCGATTGCCTAGCAAAAAACAAAAACCAAAACAACAAGAAATGATGAGCAGGATGGTTTCAGAAAAACCTGGGAAGACTTAGATGAACTGATGCAGAATAAAATAAAGTAGAACCAGGAGAGCAGTGTGCACAGTAACAGCAATGTTGTTTGATGACCAAGTGTGAATGACTTAGTATTCTGATCAAAAAATGATCCAAGGCAATTCCAAAGGACTTATGACAAAAAATGCTATCCATCTCCAGAGAAAGAACTGGTGGAGTCTGAATGCAGATCAAAGCAGACTTTTTTTTTTAACTTTATTTTTCTTACGCGGTTTTTTTTGGTCTTTTTTTTTTTTAACAACATGGCTAATATAGAAATGTGTTTTGTATGACTTCACATGCATAATCTATATCAAATTGCTTGCCTTCTTAAAAAGGGGTACGGCAAGGGAGGGAAGGAGATAATTTGGAACTTAAAATTTAAAAAAAATACTAAAAATTTTTACATGTAATTGAGAAATATTTAATGAAATAAATAAAAATATATCGGGGAGAAAAAAGAACCATATATGATGAGAAGGCATGGTGGGAGTGCCCAAACCAGTGCAATTACACCAACCGCCAAGAGTCACTGCGTGATCAGTTAAGATATTGTGACTTGTTCAAATATGGAGACAGGGAAAATCAACTATATTGTCATATGCCAATAAGCAGCCCAAGTAGTCATTATGGAAAAGCAATTATCAAAATCATTAAAGAGATCTAATTTATGCTTTGGTTATTAAGACTAATTGATAATTGAAGGAAAATGTTCTTTCATGAATCCCTGTGAGTATATAAAAATTATGTTTGGTGTTCCATTGAAAACTTGAATTTCATAGTGGGGCTCCAAGATTTACATTAGGGCATCATGTGCTACTTAGTTTAAGACAATGTCATTTTCCAGAATAGAAGACTTAGCAGAACCCTAATCCTGTAATTTGATAATTTTCTTTCCTGTTGTCTGCTTGGGCCTTTTATGTCACAGATCATAAGGCCATAGAATTAAGTCCAACCTCCCTCATTTTACAGATAAAGAAACGGCCTCAGAGAAGGAAAGTGACCCACTCAGGGTCATAAAAGAAATAAATGCCGCTGACAACCACAAATTCAGTAAGCGGGAGAATTCATTTTAACCCTTAGAATAAAAGATTCTTTTTTTTTCTTTTAAAAGTGGATCGTAGTGTAGCTTCCCCTCTGAGGTCATTCTCCCAACTTGCATTAGCTGACTAGGTTACCGGTGATAGATTCGATGGAGAAGTCTAGGTTGTCTGTGTTTTCATTAATCAGGGCAGGGGCACACACTCCGTCCCTTACAATAGTAACATAAATGTAGAGCCAGAAGGGAATTCAGAGGCCATATAGTCCCAGCGCCTTATAAAGGAGGAAACTAGGGAGGTTCCATGAATTGCCAAAGACGGACCAGTAGAAAATGTCAGAGGGCAGTTCTGAAACCCGGGCCTCTCATTGCAAAGTCAATGTTCTTTGTCTCTTTGTTGGAGCAGAAAAGATGTCCAGCATTTCATTTTTTTATATTTTGAATTTTAATTTTCAGTTCCAAATTCTCTCCCTCATTTTATCCCCTTCCCCACCCACTGAGAAGGCAAGAAATACAATACCTATAATATGCATGAAGTCCCAGCATTTCTTTAAAAAAAACTGTTTCTGTTCTTTAAAGGCAATGAAGCTAAGTCAGGGAAGAGGCACTTCTGTGGATCCCGACAGTGGCAGGAAACGATTTTCTGAGACACCTATGAGGGCCATTTCGTCGGTGGAGAGTTTCCACACACAGAAAGACTTTTTTTTTTTTAATGTGATGTAGGCCTCCAACCAAGGTGCTGTTGTATTATTGATAGTGGTTCCTTTAAAAAGCAACTGATCATGACTAATGGCTCCCTCATTTAGCACACGAAAAGCAAGAATTGATGCTGAGGCTTGTGGGACACACATAACTCCCGGGCACAAATGGGAAGCAATTAGGTCTCCATTCCAAAAGGCTGAGCGGCCTGTGACAGTAAGGGAAAATGACACCAGGAGGCATTTGAGAGGCTCATGCCGTTTGGAGTTATCGCATCAGGGGAATATTCTCTTCTGTGAAAAGGAAGGGCTGAAATGAAAACTGGACTCATTATTAAACTTGCATTCCTAGAAGCAGGAAATTAAGCCATAGAACCAGGTTTGAATAATAAGCTCTGTTCCTCCTGGCAGCAAGCAGGGTGCAGACTAAAGGGTGCTTGTCTCTGGATTGGGAAATGAGGGTTCAAGCCTAGACTAGGTTGCTTTCTACCTGTGTGATCTCAGAGCAAGTCCTTCTCACTCTAAATCTATAATCCTTTCTGAGTGACGTTGGGTAAGCCATTTCACCCTCCGGGCCTCAGTTTCCCTATCGGTAAAATGAGTGGCTCAAGCTAGATGTTCCCTAAGGATCTTTTCAGATCCCAAATCCTGTGACAGTCTTCCAGCTGTCCCAGTTTCATACTGGCTCCACATCACACAGTATCCTACCCCTCTGTCTGGATCTGCCTTTCTCCCTTCCTTATTTCATTTCCTGCATACTGTTTCCCTTTCCCCACCCTCCCACCCCCATTATATACTTCCAGAGTTAACAGCCATGTTTTGAAGTTGGGGTTTGGACTCTGGAAAGGACAAGCCACTGCTCCCAATGTTACAGCATCTGACTGGGATAGATTTCCTTCTCAGGGCCCCATTCTCTTCAAATGCATTTGCTCTGGGCACAAGAATTTATAGTTATGTGAATGTAACTATTCTGCGGAGCCTGTGCTTAGAATACCCTCTATCTGTCTCGCTACCTGCTGAATTCCTATCCAGTCTTTTAAGTTCAGGTAACATTGTAACCTGCTTTATTAAGTTTTCCCTAACCCTCCACCTGCTGAAAACCTTTCTCTTCTCTCTGCTTGAACTGCACAAACTTTTTGCTTAAACCTGTCTGGTGCATTCATATTATAGTTATTTGTGTATGTGCCCAGTTGATTGTAAGCACCATTTGTATAGGGTGACATCTTCTATAAACATTGTACAAGCCCTCCACTCTCACCCCCACATCTACCACAGTTGTCCCGACTCAGTAGAAGTTAATAAGTACTCAATTCAGTTGAGTTTTGTGAAACTTCTAAATAGATTACGGCAGCATAAGATAAAATTATGTAATAAATATATTGATTTATGATCATTGTACTGGCCTCATTTCAATTTTATTACTTGTGTAAGCAAGACCATAAGAGGAAATTTTATTTTACCTTTCATTTACACTATTTTGTCCTTTACCTTTCCTTAAACTATTATTATGTCTTTCCTGTCATTAACCACGTGAAATAAACATCAATTGGTTCTTTATGGTTCAGATAGCAGACTGTATAGCCTTTGTTTCATTTCTTTTTCTTCTTCCTCATTTTTAAAAATCTCTTATTATGCCTCTGACCTATGGTAATTTTACCATAATTTACCACACAATTTTACCTAAGGTAAAATTCAAAACTAGTGAAGCTTCCAAAGTGGACTTTCCAAATGCTTTGGAACTGAATACTTCCTGAAAACTTTTACCTCAACGACATGTTTCATTGATTAAGATTGGAAGACTTTGTGGGCCAGAAGAAGTGAGCAAACTTTCCAGATCAGTTGATCCACCGTCTACCACCAATGCTCTCTAAACAGGTGATTTCATAGAGAGCCCGACAACCTGCACACAAAACTTAGGTGTCCTAGAAAAACTCAGCGAATGGTGTCTCCTAGCCAGCCGGGGCCCACAATACAAACCAAAGGCCAGAGACGCAGGGGTTGTAGCTTTTCTCTGAGGAATGTGTATATATTTTGCTTTGGATCTGTGGGGTTAGTTTCATACCAACCATCAGTGCTACGCAATGTCAACGTCCGCAGATTAGACGCATGTGTGTATATACATGCATACACATATATACAACACACATATACACACACCTATATATGTATGCACATATATATGTATATGTATGTATATGATGTATTGGCACAGCTAATAGAAAGGTGGACCTGGAGTCAGGAAGACTCATTGTCCTGAGTTCAAATTTTGCCTCAGGCACTTACTGGCTATGTGACCCTGGGTAAGTCACTTAACCCTGTTTGCCTCAATTCCTCACCTAGGAAATGAGCTGGAGAAGGAAATGGCAAACCACTCTAGTATCTTTGCCAAGAATATGCCAAATGGGGTCATGGAGAGTCAACCGTGACCAAAAAGCAGCTTAACCAAAAGAAGTATGTACAATGTGTGTGTGTATGTGTGTGTGTATGTATGTATATGTGTGAGATATATATATGTAGATATGTATAGATATATACACACACACACATCTATCTATCCATCTGTCTATCATCAGTCAATGTACACTCATGACATGGATTGGTGACTCACCCCTCCCTGGTTTTCTCACGGCACAGGGACACCAGGGCAATGATTGGTGGGGAGATAAAGTATTATCTATTTCCTCTGCTCTCAAATTACCTTCAGAGTTTTTTGTTTGTTTTTTTAGCATTGCATTTTATTGAGGTAGTAAAGGAGGAAGAATAGTAGGAGGATATAGTCTCAGTCACCTCTAAACTGTTGCTGAACTTTTATTCTTCAGCACATAGAAGTGGAGGCCTCTTTGGGGCTTGCTGGGCTCTGTAAAACATTCTTATCTGTGTTTTCCCAGAGTTAAGGAGTAACAATGAAGATGCCATTAATGCTAGCTATTGGTAGCATAACAATAGCAATTAATAACTACTAAGTTTTCTCATAATGTTAGTTTTTTACTTAATTTTCAACTCTCCCAAATTACTAAGAATAACTAACATTTACATAATACTTTAAGGTTTGCAAAGCACTCATCATATATATTAACCCGCTTGATCCTCACAACGACCCTGTGAGGTTGGTGCTGTTATTATACCCATTTTATAGATGAAGAAACTGATGTTGAGAGAGTCACATGGTTATTGTCTGAGGGAGGACTTGAACTCAGGTCTTCCTGACTCCAAGTCAGTCTCCACACTCTAAACAAAGTGTTCTTATCTTAATCTCCCGGTTTGTTTGTTTCAAGGATACCTTTGTCAGTTTGCTGAAGCATATGGATCCCTTCTCAGAGGAATGTTTTTAAATGCATAAAATAAAATATATAAGATTATAGAAAGAAAACCTCATTATATTGAAATAAAGTTGTCATTTTTTTCCAACCAAGTTCATAGACCCCCTGAAATCCACCCAGGTTAAGATCTCTGCCCGAAGCACAGTATCAATACAAATATGATAAACAGGTTAATATTTACTCAGGGCTTTCCTTTGGCATTTCATATTTGCAGGGTGTCCTGTGTCAATGAGATCGATCAGTAGGTAAGAACATGGGGCTATGAAAGGCACCAGAACATCAACAGAACTAAATATTAAAAAAGAAATGCAACTTTTATATCCTTGTTCCTTTTGATTGCAGAACCAAAGTGAACTTACTGGGATATTGTGGTATCTTTAAAAATTTATCAAAGAACATTGTGTTAATCTGGAAAGAGTAGCAAGGTTAATAAAAGATCCTTTTTTCAAAGCAGTGTTTTTCTTTTCCCCTGATTTCAAGTTTCTCTCCACTTGAGATAAACAATACATAAGAGGATTAATAAACCAATCAGCATTTATTAAGCATCTGCCATATGTCAAATACTATGTTAGGCACTGATGGTAAAAAAAAAAAAGAAAAAAAGAAAAAACTCAACCCTGTCCTCAAGGAGGTTACATTGTATCGGGGGGAACAATATGTACTGCTAAACAGTGTAGCCTATTTTGGGCTTGCTCTCAACTCACATCTGTGAATACTCACTGGTCAGGTCCCCAGGATACATTTCCACTGCAAGGTTCTAGAGGTACTCCTGAGGAGTTAGAGGATCTTTCTAATTCTATTAGTTTGAGCTCTTATTCCAGGGTGGTTCACCCCAAATTCAATTTCTAGTCAAATTCATATTTCCTCAATATCATTGATGCCATTGAACAGTGTCCCCACTATCAATTTAGCCAGTTAACGTTTCTTAGTTTTTACAAAGGGATATTAACTGAAGAGACATAATAAGAATCAAAGTAAAAAAATGTCTTTCCTAGGTTTGGAGACACCCTCCATCCTCCATACCCTGGGCAAAGTGGATTCAAAGTTAAAATGCTACAGAACATTCACCCACCAAGTTCATTTTTTAATTCAACGTTACCAATGGACAGAATCACTCCCTTACTTTCAGGACATAATGGGTCTTGGTCAATACACTGCTAGGCTATCTCCTGTAGGTCACTCCTTGGGGCCAAGCTCCTTGCTTGGCCTCAGCTGCTAGCAAACTCTGGAATGGAATGAAATTCCTTAAATGTTGAGCTCACACAAGACCAAAGGGTTGAAGACCCTTCCCCTGACACAGCCTTGCCTGGGAGGTCCTGCACTCATTGGCTCTCCTGTGGAGGGAAAGACCCCCACCCTCATTGGCCTTCCAGGGCTCAGAGAACCATTCTTACACTTGTGGCCATAAGGAAGGAAAGAATAATCCTTTCTTCATTCGAGTCTCACTCTCAATTCCTCTCTGATGGTCAACCCAAAGGGCTTTTCATCATCATTTGTTTAAGACCTTAGCTTGAAAGGCCAAGTCCCTACTACATCCAGGGCCATCTCCAATCGTCCTGAACTCTCTGTTACCGCTGGACCCTGATGGCTCTGGAGGAGAAAGTGAGGCTGGTGCCTTTGCACAACCCTCCCTCATGTGAATCCAATCCACTGGCACATCATGGCATCACCTCCCTGGTGTCACGGTCCTCCTGGAGAACAAAGGACAAGCAGCAGCAGCAGCAGCAGCAGCAGCAGCAGCAGCAGCAGCAGCAAGCCTGTAGGAAACAATTGGAGAATATCTGTAGATGCTCTAAGGAGAGGGCTGAGCCCCTCCACCCCACATTATCTTGAACTTCTAGAAACTTCCAGGTTCATCAAATATCCATGTGGGTCCCATGGGTGTGCTCCCAGGACTGGGCTCTCCTTGCTTGGTCATGTGTTACATAAAAAATTCAAAATGCAAGTGAAAGGGGATGGAAAGGGGTGAAGCCAATAAGTTTCATGTAGGCATCTAGGGGGCGCCATAGTGCCCAGAGCGCTGGAGCTGGAGTCAGGAGGCCTCGTCTTCCTGAGTTCAAATCTGACCTCAGATACTTACTAGCTGTGTGACCCTGGGCAAGTCACTTCACCCTGTTTGCCTCAGTTTTCTCATCTCAGTATCTTTGCCAAGAAAACCTCAAATGGAGTCACAAAGACTCAGACACTCTGAAAAATAACTGAATACACATAGTAAGCTCTGAAGAAAGTTGGAGATTCTGAGAAGCAGAGGTGACAAAAGTGTATTCTGAGCCTGGGGGACAGTCTGGGTAAAGGCATAGAAATGGGAGATAGAATATCATGAAGGAGTAACAACAAAAAGGCAGGTCTGAGCGGATTGGTTGAGTACATGAAGGGGAGAAGTGTGTAAAGCCCTGGTGGTAGGTTACAGCCAGGCTTTAAAAGCCAAATAGAGGAGTCTCTCTTGGATTCTAGAGGCAAAAGGAAGAGACTGGACTTGATTGAGTTAGGGAGTGACATCATCAGACCTTCGCTTTAGTAATATCAGTTTGGCAGTGCTGTAAAGGATAGATTAGTGGGAAGAAGGTTGAGGCAGGGGGGCCAATTAGAAGGCTACTGCAATAGTCCAGATGATGACAGTCTGAACTAGAGGGACGGAAAGTGAGTGGAGAGAATAGGACAGATATGAGCCGCTAACCTACTGCCCTTTAAAATATAAAGTGAAAACCTTTCCTTCAAAGTCTCCTCAGTCTTTGCAATACAGTTTCTAATTCTGCAGAGCCTGGCTGGAGAGCTCTACGCTAATAAAACCTACAATTTAGTACAGACCTGAGCCGGACCCTGGCTCAAGCAATGGAGGCATACGGCCAGAGGGGATTAAGACCAGATGGTGTAGAACTGGCAAATAAAAAAGTGGTTTGAGGTGTTCAGCTCATGGAAATCAGTGTGTGGCATCCTGTCCAGAGGATGAAATGGATAGATGAATGAATAAACGAATAACGCAATTACATTGTGCTAAGCTTTGGGCATCTAAATACAAAAGTAAGACAAGTCCTGCCCTCAAGGAGCTTGCATTCTAGGGGTGCAGACAACCTGTAAAGGTCACAATAAGGGACATGAAGCTTGAATGTTAGCAAAGCTGACTGCCGGGAGTGACTGGGAAATCTCCCTTTCCACTGTGGTGAAGGGCTGGGA